GAGAGATGTAAATGCTCCATTGTTTAGTCCGCTTTCCTTAAAACGCACACCTTACTCTAGTTAGTACTGTGACCTCATCCTTATTGTAGCGGCTGAATACAGTGGGCAGAAAAAAAGATGGCAATCTGTAATCCAGTCTAGGGCTGCACGATATTGGAAAAAACTGACATTGCGATATTTTTTGCCTAATTAATATCACATATCCTAAAAAAATTAAATACATTTTTAAAAAAAGAATGCGGACTTGCGATGTGAATATCGCGATTATCGTCACGACACGATATATCGTGCAGCCCTAATCCAGTCCTTCATGAACTCTTATTTAATTGGCCTATTATTTAATTGGTGGGATGAGAGCCAAACATCACCTTGACCAAAAGAAAAATAAACAAAACAAATGAAGAAGAAGAAATGGCAGCTTTTCTTTCCTCATAAGATGGAAACGTTCCCCCTCCTCTCTTTTTCAAACAACCCGATAATGCCTTGAAGCAGACAGCGTCTACCTTTTTTAGAGGGTCATAGACGCGGAGCGATGGCGAGACAGATGGTGTTGGGGGAGAAAGAGAAGGAGAAGTGACAGGTACTCATGTCCAAGGACGGGAGGAGATGACAGCGACCGGTTCACTTCACTCCTCTTTTCCTCTCTTTTCTCCTTCCTCACTTCTCGTGTGTGACAGTTAACCTGCAGACATGAATCTGATGATGATATCTTGTGACCACTGCCATGCTTAACTCACTACTTTGATACTTCTTGCCCCGGATGGTATGTCAAGCTTTATGCTGACCAACCTGGAGAGGCCTCTGCTCTGTGCCTTTAAATTGTACAGACAGGGGAGAAGGCAGAATGGGTTAGTCGCATAGGAGGGTTCTGGAGGAAAAGTAAAATACCTAAACAGTAATGACACCATATTATACCATTATTATTTGTTCTCATTGTCTTGGAACATTTTGATGTTTCTGGGATTTTATTTTGAGTTGCATCCAGCTACTTCATATTGTCAGATTATGGAAGCTTGATGCAGGATTGACAGTACCACATACCTTCACATGGCTGTGTAAGGAAAAAGCTGAGGTGGTTTATTTGAACCAGATTGAATCCATTTTCATCAAAAAGGTCCCCCTTTCTCCTCACTGTCATAAATGAGTCAAGACCACAAATGCGTACTTGTAAATCCCGTACAACCACAGTAGTTTCTCTTTATTTATTTCTAAACCATGGGGACCAGTGGAAAAGTAAAGATATTTATTTAGCCTGGCAAAAACCCTGGTATCCTGGTACGTAACTCCGTGAAAACCGGTGGTTCTACTTTTAGTTGATTTAAAAAAAGGAAGAATGAGTCTTCAAGGTCTAATAGTGAGTTTAGTGTGTTTATTATCAGATTAAATAATGTTGATCATTGAACTATAGATAGATTATCTTTATGCTAAGCACATACTACTAGGGCTGCACGATATATATCGTGTCGTGACGATAATCACGACATGCGCATAACCCTATTCACATCGCAGGACTCTTTTTTTTTTTTGGACGTGCGATATTAAGTAGGCAAATTAACTCAAACACGTCATGTTACAATTTGTTTGCTGGGAAAAGGAAAACTTGCGCGGCTCTCATGTCAGGGGTACTTGAGTGAGTGACATGCAGGCTCTGCATGCACAGCAAACCACCAATCACAATCAAATCTCCAAAACAAACGGACCCGGCGATTAAAGGTAAAAACACTGAAAAGTAGTTTCATGTGTTTCTCCAGGGCAGTTCGGCGCTGCTAACCGAGCTAGCTCAGCTTGCTGCTCTGATAACTTAAGATCCAGACGTCCGTGACTAAAATCCTTCATCCGGTTGAATATAGTTAGAAAAATACCAATTGTATAGCATTAAAGTTCAAGAAAGGATGGTTTGCGGACAAAAAAAACTGTCTTTTCTTCAATTCTTGTATTTTTCATATCGAAGGGGGGAAAAATATCGCAATGTCAGTTTTTTTCCAATATCGTGCAACCCTAAATACTATCACTAGTAGTATGTGTGTAAAAAGGGAACAACTTACCATCCCATCTGATTTTCTTTTTCTTCTAGTTGACTGACTTATTACTGCTTATCTAACACGTGCAGTGACTTTACCGTAGGCCTGTACACCGGGGAGTGAGCAAACGCAGCCTGTGGATTAAAGGGTTAAAAGCTCTTGTTCACAGTCTTGACTTGACATAAAAAAACACACAACCGTGCTTGTTGTACAACAGAAAAGTGCTGACGATCATGAAAGCGAAAAAGCAGTCGAGAGTGTGCATTTATACCTCCAGCGCTCCATTCACTTGTTTTCCGTCTGTCTGGCTCACCGTGAAATTGATTATGGATTATTCAGGAGGCAAACAGGAACTCCCTCTCTTCTTTCATAAAAAAGCCTGTATGAAAGCGATTAGGGGGTAAGAATGGACTGGTGGACGGCAGAGAGGATGGATCCTCCATTGAGAAGAAAGAGGAAGATCGTTGACTTTTTCTTGAAAGCAGGGTAGATGGATAGTGAGAGGGGCGGATGAATGAGTGATATGGACCGAGGGAAAGGCTGCATGGATGGATGGATGGAGTGCTTCAGGTAGCCTTACCTGGGATAATGCAGCCCGGACGCAGGTTTAATGGCATATAAAAGCCTGGGACTCATCTTTTATTCAGCCAAAGAGAGACTTCCAGGTGAACACATGCGTCCCAAGGGGCTGCAGAAACACAGCCGTGTGCGTGTGCGTGTGTGTGTGTGAACCTGAGTGGAGAGTTAATACACACAGCATCTTGAGGTGTGTCAACTCCAGGAAGCACTTTAGTGTAGTTTGCTGAAGTCCGCATGGGAACAAGGTGTATTGGTACTCAATGCGTTCATATATAGCATATATATGCAGCTAAAACTGCATAGAAACAAACACTGAGAATGAACACATACACTGGGACTCGTATAACCCTTCATTCAGGTCCAAGACCTTTAGTGGGCACGCTCCCGGACATATGCAAAGTGCTGCAGTGCCTCCTCCACACGTGCACACACTGGCGGGTGTTTTGAGAGTGCACGTGAGGCTGTTCCATATGCATGGGGCTGTTTGGGCCTACTTCCCTGGGGCAGGACCTCAGGGCTCTGCTGGAGAGCGGGGCGATGGAGCAAGAGTCCACTTCAGGCCCAGTGCGTGTTTATGTACACTTCCTCCAGTTCAAGGTGGAGCAGCAGGCAGCCATTAGCATTTTGTCGATGGAGGAAGTGTTTGTGTGTTGGAGCCTGCTGGTTTCACTGAGAGAAAGTGTGTGCCAGCTTTTAACTAAAACCCTTTTTTTTAAAAAAACATCCCCAGGCCTGGAGGTTGTTTTAATTTAAATCACATTTTACAGATACACAAAGACAAATGTTTTCTCTTCTCAAACTGTTGTTTTTCTGCATTTCTAAGATGCATATAAAAGACATTAATCTCATACTTACATTTTGACTATTGATTCAAATGTTCATCATGACATCTGTCACCACAAATACTTATTCAACTTTCATTCTCATGGGCATAGATTTCACTTTGAATTCTAGAGGGAAAATCCTGGCATTTTCAGACTTAAAAATAAGTCTTCGTAAGGGGAAAAAGTTTAAATGTAAGTTTTAAATTGATTTAAACTCAAAGGGTATAACACAGACTTCTGCCAGGGCTGTGTCCTTAAGTTAAAAATGATATGTCAATCCTTCCTGTGATTTGCGTCCACCAATGTTCATGAACATGTGTTGTAGTTTTTCCTTAATCCTGCTGAACTGAACTTAAAACAAAATCTTGGCGGAGGTTCAAAATAACATTTAAAGGTGGGGTAGGTAATTTCGGAGAAACCAGCTCGAGTGCGCTAGAATTTGAAAATACACAACCGGATAAAATCTGCCACTTCCTTACAGAGCCCCTCCTCCAACACACACGAACGCACACATGACCAATAGAGAACCGCAGTGACGCATCCTAAAACCCGGAAGTAAGTTAGCATTTTTACCACTGCCTGGTTCCTTCGACAAAAAGCAATGGGATTTCTCCATAGGGTTTTGGAAAATATCTGGAAATAAGGTCTGTGTTTGACACAAATTGAAGAGACAGATCACGTTTTGTTCTACGACATTAAATGCATCAGCAGTGACCCCACTGGTGATTTTTGAAGAGTTGACGTGTCTGAAAAACGATGGTTGTTACCAAGTGGTTGAATAGGACTACAGAAGTTGTCGAGGCCGTTGTACGTCATTACACCGAACACGTAAACACTCCCGCTAAGTTTGTTTGCCCTGTTCTGCTTGAAAGCAAGTGCCTGCCTCCTGCAAACTGTTCAAACAAACGCTTCAACTTGTACAATTTTGAATCTGTAGTTTTGAATATGGATCTTAAGTTGACGTGACTTTGAAGCAGCGACCCTGCTGTAGTTCGTTTATAGCACTAACGTTAGCATTTTGCTTCTGGCGACTAGATTTATGATTCGAAAATTATAAAAGTAGGATAGACATGTGGAGATTATCCGGCTGAACAAAACGTGATCCGTCTCTTAAATGTGTGTCAACCACAGACCTTATTTCGACCTACTTTCCAAAATCCTATGGAGAGATTGCATTGCGTTTTTGACGAAGGAACCGGAAGGAGTCTGTGCACAGATGGAGGGCTGACAGGCAGGTAGGCCATCCAGTTACTTTAGCCGGGCCGGCTAAAATGATTGGTCGTGCTTTTTACAGTACTACGGCTTCCACAGATGATGTTTTGTATGTATTTTTTGCCAAAGCACTTCAGATATTCATTGCTATCGGGATGTTAAGAGCATTCCATGGAATATAACAAAAAGTGTATCTCGAGCAGGTTTCTCAAACTTACCTACCCCACCTTTAATGTCATCCCTGATGTCATTTTTTTTCCGTCTTGTTTTGGCAGTTTGTAGAATCTTCATTAATATTCTTAAGTTCCTCTGTCACTATTGAAAAAAAAAAGAAGATAATAATGACTTTCTGTGTGTGTTTTAGGAGTGATTGAGGTGTTGAAAGGCATGCAGGATCTTGAGATCAAACCTGATAACGAGACTTTATCCCTCTACGTCTTGCCCATCTTCGCCAACATAGAAGAAGCTCGACATATCCTCAAGGTAATCTATGTGTGTGTGTGTGTGTGTGTGTGTGTGTGTGTGTGTGTGTGTGTGTGTGTGTGTGTGTGTGTGTGTGTGTGTGTGTGTGTGTGTGTGTGTGTGTGTGTGTGTGTGTGTGTGTGTGTGTGTGTGTGTGTGTGTGTGTGTGTGTGTGTGTGTGTGTGTGTGTGTGTGTGTGTGTGTGTGTGTGTGTGTGTGTGTGTGTGTGTGTGTGTGTGTGTGTGTGTGTGTGTGTGTGTGTGTGTGTGTGTGTGTGTGTGTGTGTGTGTGTGTGTGTGTGTGTGTGTGTGTGTGTGTGTGTGTGTGTGTGTGTGTGTGTGTGTGTGTGTGTGTGTGTGTGTGTGTGTGTGTGTGTGTGTGTGTGTGTGTGTGTGTGTGTGTTCTCATCTTATAGTTGTTTTCCTCTGTTCAGGATGCAGGCATCACTTTGGCACCAGAGGGCTTCTTTGCTTCAAAGATCCGCTCACTGGCTGTTTCCAACCTGGCCGAACTACACACCTTGCGTAAGCTCACACACACACACACACTTACTTCAAGGAAACTGCATCTTGAGCACCCATCATCATAAAGATCGCTGCTTTGCCTGCGGGCTAATTGGACCAGCGTTGACACACAAACACACACACACTTGCCCACTTACTCCTCTTTGCTCATCAGGCCTTTTAAGAGAATGTGTGAATATGTAAAGAGCGAGAAGGAGAGGCGCTCGCTCTGTCACAGGGACGGATGGAGAAGGCTGGTAAATAATGGATGACTCTTCCTGTTTTCTGTCTTTCATCTTGTTTTAGTCTCAAACGTCCACCACTGGTTTTCACATACGTCGCTCCGTTTCCTCTTTCTGTATTGTCCACAATGAAACACACACAGTTTTTTTGTTTTAATTTGATCTATTTCTCCATAAACACTGCACATCCTCAAGGCGCTTCTTCCAATAAGTAATCAAACAAACAAAAAGCCAAACCTTTCCTGCTTTCAGATGCATCTGTTCTTTATACCTCTGTTAATTGAAAAATGTGGTTTTTTTTTACTTTCCCACAAATTCCCACTCAATCAAACAACAAATACCCATGCCCTTCAGCCATTTTTACATATTTGTAGACCTTTTATAGATTACACGTTTATTTTATTAGCTACATTCCAACCATTGCCCCCTCATACTGCCACAGATAAATAGTGCAATATTCAATAACAAAGGAAATGGTGGTATAATTCCTGGCAAAGTAAGTCGGCATGATGAAAGTCGCACAATTCTATCTGTCCAAGGACAATAAACCTTGACGTGTTTTTGTGCGAGGCATTACTACTTGCAAGGTGTTATAATCCACAGCTCCCACAAATGATACAGCGACTTGGTGTGTATAGGTTATATTCAACGTATATTCATAACTAAACCACACGGATCAATTCCAGAGAGGACAAGCTGTTGCTCCTTTCCTTCTTCCTTTCCCTCATCACTCATCTGTCTGCTCTGTTTTCCAGTGTCGGATCCATCCTGCCTGGCGACAGATCTCAGTATTTTCCGTGGCAGCCTCATCTTGGGCTTCAAAAAGTGAGTCAATTAGCCCGTTCTCTGTTTTTGTCTTAATGTGATCTTCATCATTTCATATTCCATATTTCTCCATAATTTCCTTCAAACTCCTGAATGGTGTTTTTAGGGAGGCCTGTAGCGCTATAGAGGTCACTGCAGCATATGCTATGACTATGACATGTGCAGCGTATCACACCATCCACCACAATGTGTGTGTGTGTGTGTGTGGCTGCAGGGAAAAACACTCCATCACACACACATATTTGCGGCTGCCTCATGCATATGGAGGCAGTCATCCCTCAGCTCTCGCCCCAAAGCACCGTGGGAGATATGCAAATTAGCAGATGCCCACCACTGCCCCTCGTACATGGACCCCCATACTGATCTAACTCTCTCTCCTGCACACACACTCACACAGAGGAAGCCTTAGGACCGGGGTCTGACCCGTGGGCTTTTGTTGAAGGGGTATTTATGAATATTTACAGTTTAGCACTCCACACCCACACAGAAATGCTCCGGCCCCTGAGTGAAGCTGGAGGTGAGCCAAAGAGAAAAGGCGCTGACTTGTCTGCAGGGAGCAAAGTTATTTCTTCCTCCAGAAAGCTAAACTCTGCTCAGTCGAGCTTAACTTGAAACTTTCTTAGTTATATACTTTGTTGTAACTGATTTGCTAATTAACTTGGTTGATTTCGAACTAACGTAATAGGAAAATAATTATAATGCAATATAGTTTTAGCTTATTTCGAAACCACCAATAAATGAACATTACAAGACTGTTTTTAGAAGATATTGGCTTCATTTAAAAAATATTTAAAATCATTGAATCCACATTGTTGTCCGTCTTTTATGTGTATGACTTCGCTCCCTCTCCTCCATTTGCCATGCATTAACACACACTCACTCTCACACACACACCTACACACTCCTCTGACTGTTAAGTTGCCTGACAGGGTCGTAATTGGGCTTGTCACTTGGGGAGTGTGTGTGTTGGTGTGTGAGTGCCGTGTCACTGCAATGCGGGACCTGCCCCTGTCAAAGACAAGGTCAGGGGATAATTTAATCATTAAAGACCTGTTCTTCTCTCTTTTCCTCTCCCCCTTTATCCTCCTCTCCAGCAACTAGCTGACAATGCCAGAAATGTCGCACATTGTCATAATTTAGTGTGTGTGTGTCTTTTGTGGTTTCCCAGGCTTTTGTACTGCTGTCTTTCCTCTCTCTGTATTGAGTGTGTCAAACTGAAAAATCTGTCGCGCTTTCTTAACGTATTTTATTGTACTACACTGTCAATTCAGTAGCTATGGCAATATGACACAGTCAGTATTATGGTCACTTAAATCAAACCCTATCTGATGTCAGAAAATGTACTTATTTTATTATATCAAACATTTATGAGGTTTGTATATTTATTTAAAAGTTGGGGTGGAAATGGGATTTAAAAAACATCTATATTTCAGTTTTTAAACAACATTCAGATCCTTTTGAACATTGAACGGTTCACCAACAGTACCAAGTTCACAGACCGTACAAGCAATCAATATTCAAGTGAGCTAAGTTTAGAGACATCTCGCAATATTGTAATTTGACAACTTTAGAGTGATCATTTATGGAGGGAATTGACAGCAACAGCGCTCAAAGTTGGTCAAACTTGAATGTTGTTTGAGAGCCGAATACATCCATGATGGAAGTGTGTGTGGTGGAGGTGTTTCTTTTTCCTGAGATGAATTTTTAGCAAATGTAGACGTCCTTCTATGTTTGAGCCCTAAAAGCAAAACGTACCTTCACTTGTGAGCAAATTGCACATTAACTCTGACTCGCTGGAGTCCTGTGGACCCGCTGGGGGTGTGTGTGTGTGTCGCCCAGCTGCTCATGTGTTGTCCTCTACTGCCCCCTGCAGGTCCTCTGATGTGGAGAGCATGGTGAAGGTAAGAAGTGAATATGCCCATATTATGTGTTGAGTATCTGTGAAGGATAATGTACTGGACTACAGACAGAAAGCATTTTCAATAAAAGTGAAATAGCTGGAAATAATAAATGATCCAGTAAAAGAGCCTTCATGTACAAAAGAGATAACACTTTATAAAGACATGCACTTATTAAAGTTAAAACTAATCTCTTTTTCGTATTTAAAGCATTTGATGCATGTTCACTATATATCACGGCTTATTCCTCACACAATGAAACAGTTATGATATCCAGTTTACTCGCCATCTGCTACATACTGGGTTACATTTAGGAAGAATATACAATCTGACAAATGCCATCTGCTGCCTGTTATCCAAATCTCCTTATGGCCCACTGAACGTATAAATAAAAAGATATTAAGCAAACATACAGTTCATTCACACACAGAGCTCTTTCATAATATACGAAATGTAGTTGTTAAAGAGTTAATACAAAAAAGGAATTGTTAAGGATTGGATTGCCTATGATGAAATGTAACCCTAACTATTCCTGTGGAGATGGTGTTGTTGGCTTTAATGTACGCTATTTGTCTTATTGTGTGTTTAATTGTTTCCCCAGATTACTGAGCTCTTGTCCAAAGACCAGCGCTTCGCAAAAGAAGGCACAAAGACTTCTGGTAAGGAGATGTTTGTACACAAGTCAGGACTTTCATATCTTATGGTGTCCTTGTTTGCAAGAGTGGTGTGTATGGATGCTCCGATCGATCGGTCACCGATCGAGATCGGCCGATACTCACTCTCTACCGATCGATCGGTGCTCTCTAAACATGCCGATCGCGAAAGCCGATCGCATGACGTAAAATACATGACACTTTTCTCTGTGTGCGGCATAACAAGCTCGCCAAAATGGCTTCACCGGTCTGGCATTATTTTAAGGTGTCCGAAAAAGATAGTAAAATAGCGGTATGCAACGTGTGTGAAGCAGAAATCCTGCAGCTCCGCCCGCCGGACCGGTAAGCGCAGCGAAACACACACACACACAGGGAGAACCAGACCTGCAGTTCATTTCCTCATATTCCAAACGAGAAATTACGGTAGCAAATCACCCGGTTCTTTACGACCAGAACTATTAACGGGATACAAACCGGAGGAACCAGGCATGGAGGGAGGTGGCAGAGACAGTGGGTGAAACTGGTAGGTTTTCGCCTGTTTGGGGAGTTTATATATATATATATTGCTCGCATAAAATCCCCGGGGTGTTTTGCTTTGTATGTCGGGGGCGGGAGATTCATGTGATTGGTTGTTGGTCGCGTTGCTCGCAAAAAATCCCCAAGCTTTCAGACACGCCCAGCTCCAAGATTTTCAAGATTTTCGAAAAGCTGCTGTGTGGACGTACCGTAAGAGTTAGACCTAACACACTTAGCTATTTTATCTACCTCTGGAACAAGCTAAACTAGTTATTATAAATATATGTATTCTTCATTGTCGGGTCACTATTACTGGATCAGTGAGCTGCATGAGATACTGACAGGCTGTCAGGAGAGAGAGGGAGAGAGGAAAAGAGAGCGCTTCCGCTCATTTCTCCCGTGTTATTATCCAAAGTGAATGTAAACTTGAATAATGTCCATCATTTGAATGTAATAATTAAGTTGATTGTTGTTTGTGGAAGCTCCAGAGAATGAGCCCCATTAACTGAGTTTTAAACATCACTTTAAATGGAAGATTTAAAGTGATGTTTAAATCTTCCATTTAGGCCCCGCCCACTCGATCGGATCGGCGATCGGTATCGGCCGATACTGATATCGGTGATCGGCCCCGAAATTGCCGATCGGAGCATCCCTAGTGGTGTGTGTGTACTTGTGTAGGTGAACAAACGACAGAACGCTTGTTTGTGTGCGTCATCCATCATGTATCAGTATTCAAACTTGCCGACTGCTGTCTCCGTCTCATCCATCCTCCAACTTTAGTTCAGATGACAAAAACATGCCCAGTGTGTGTGTTTGTCCGATATGTGTGTGTGTGTGTGTGTTTATGTGCAGTCTCAATGGCAGAAATTCTGCCGACCGCCCCGCTTCTTACATCCAGCCTGTGTGAGTTTATTTCCGTGTGAGTGAAAGACCTGCTCTCTCCGTCTGAGGAAATAGAGCCTGGCTGCTGACACTGCGATGAGTAGTTAAAAGAGTGTGTGTTATTGCTGTGCAGTGTTCCTGGTCTGACAGTGAGAGAGAGTGGGTGTTTGGAGCATTAATGTCGCTCCGTGTAAGTGTGCGTGTCACGGACAGTCCCCATCTGAAACTGGTGTTAGTGCTGGTGGGAGCGATGGAGACTGTTATCCATGTCACATTCCATTAGGCCACATCATCTGTGTGTATGTGTGTTTTATCTGTGTGTGTGTGTGTGTGAGAGAGTTGAAGTAGTGGGAAGCTGTCACTGCCAGCCATCGCACGTTCACTCACACTGCAGCCCAGAAGCAGCCTCTGTCGGCAGAAACACAAACACACACTCTGCAGAGGTCACGGATTTTTTTTATAAATGCACAAATGGATGCAGTGACGGACACGGAGGCAAATGAAATGTATTTCCAAGACAACTAGTCACTGTGTGTGTTTGTGTGTGTTTTCATCACTTCCAGATACATCATCCTTCTTCTTGTACAATTTTATCGACAACATGTCGGAGGGGGAGGTGCATGCAAATGAAGACAAGCTGCGGAAATACTTCAATCGACTAAAAGATCAGGTATTCACACACACACACACACACACACACACACACACTCTCACACACCACTCAACCATATATCCAGTTAATTCATAACCTTCCCGCATTAAAAGAGCTTACACACTCTGATCTGAGATGATTTGCTGTGTGTAATCAGATTCGGATTATTCACGATGTGTACACACACACACACTCTTTTCCTGCTCTCCATTGCTGAAGACTGATGGTCTGATTTGAGACGTCTAGACATGTTGTAGAAGATTAAATCATGTTTTACATTACTGGTCAAAGGGCACATCTTAAAGGGCCGTTTGGAGTTCAGTACGAACAAATAGACAGTCTTGGCTTTTGAGTCACGGAGAAAAATACCCAAATGGAACAAACGGGTGAACATTTTCGCCTAGGAAAGTTTAATTCTGACCTTGAAGGACTGATAACTTGTTTTAGTGACTCCTAATGAGCAGTTATTGGTAGTAGAAATAGTTGGAGTGTGTAAATACCAGAAAGCCAAAATACACTATAATCGCATATTCATTTACAGTAGTTACACACATTGTATTTTACTATCAGAAATAAATGAAAGCACCCAGTAAATGTTTGTTGGGGCATGCATATTGAGCTTAATTCAACCACAAGCTCTGTGACGGCTTTTAAACAAAGCTATTCAAGTTGTTATTTCCCAGCCATTTGGTTGCCGTTAACTGTTGCTTGTTGTTGGCTCATCGGTGCTTTGCTAATGTTGTTTTTCTCCCTTTTGTTTCTCTGTAGAATATATCTGTGTCCATGAACATCTACAGAGGCATCAGGAACCTGCTGGAGTCCTACCAAGCCCAAGAGCTCATCAAGGTACAGTACAGAGTATTTGTACTACGTTTCTGTACTGTACTACTCTGTTATTATAGCGTCCCTAATGATGAAGATGTTTAATGTTACCTGTGTGTGTGTCAGGATGTGGTTGCTCTGGTGGACCACGATGGCTTTGGGTCAGATGCTGTCCGTGGCACTGTAAGTAGGACGCTGTGAAAAATGCATATAAAATGTTCAAAACGCTACGAGACTCAACGTTATTCATTTTTAACGCTTATGTTTATCTTTAGGGAAACTTGTATTGCTTGAACTCCACATTTGAATACAACTTGCAAACAAATAAAACAATGGATAGAGCGCACAGTGTTATTTAAAACAAGCTCTTGAAGGTGTATGCATTTGATTATGTGTTTAACACCTTTCTCCATCAGGGGGCTGAGGGCAGGTTGTATGGTCTTGAGAAGAAGCTCGCCAAAAGGAAAGCAGAGAACCAACCATTGAGCTACCTTCTCAAACAAGCCATCCAGAGTCTCGTCGCTGAGGAGGTAGGATTTGTTTGGATCACTCACAAAACCCTTTTTGTTTATTCTTGAAATGTGTTGCTTTTTGTGTGTTTGGTCCTGAAATGTGTTGTTTTTACGTGCGATCAGAACTTGGTGCGCGCCCTGGAGCTGAAGCAGGAGCACGAGGACGAGATGGTGATCCCCGTATACGCCAGCCTCATCGGCCTGTGCTGTCGCCACAACAACGTGGTGGAGGCGCTCAACCTGAAGAGGGAAATGTAAGTGAGGCAGGATACACAAAGAAGTGCTGTGACCAGTAGTACGCCATTAAAGTTGAACTTGAGTGGTATTAGGGGAGACATTAATGCAGCCGCTCTGTTGACTAAAACACAGGAAACTCTCCCTTCCATCCTCGTTTCCTTTCCTTCACTCACCACCTCATCAGACTGAAGGCTAGCAGGAGAGGTGAACTACATTAATCTGTCTCTCTCTGTCTCTGTCTTCAGGACTCGTAAGGACTCGTCAGTGAATCTTGAGGCTGCTAAATACATCGCACTGGTCCAGTGTCTCGCAAAGAACGACAGAATGGAGGGTAAGTTTCTCTATGGTGCAGCTAAGATTGAAGTGTGCCAATTGCTTCATTAGTCAGCTTCTTCTTAAGTGTCCTTTTATATAAAAACTGCACACCACACTTTCTCAGACTCTTCTCCAACTGATCTTCTAAAACCAAAGATCTTCAAACACATTCCAGCTTGATGGTTTACAAACTATTGATTATCTTAATGTTCTTTATTTTGTGTCAATTGATTAATTGACTAATCCCACAAGCACTTAGTTCCTCACTCCTTTATCTCTGACAGTAAGCTGGATCAAAGTAAATCAGGCTTGAACTTAAAATGTGTGTGTGTGGCCTGTGTGTGTCACCAGCTCTGTCACAATCTGTCTCTCTCCCTCCCTCAAACCACATTAGCCTGCCATTTTCAGAATGCTACGGTGGGTTTCCTTCAGCCCATCGAAGACCCAATTACCATCAGTTTTGCCGCTCTGCTTTTTGCACACAATGACAGGCAAAATTATTCCCCCGTCTGTCCTCCCCTCTCTCCGTCTTCGTCTCTGTCTCTCTATCTGACCCTCTCTCCCCCGCTCTGTCTCCAAGCGTGTTATTCTCTCAATCTCCCACCCCTTGCACCACTGAGAAATGAGAGAGGGGAAAATTACAGGACTGTGTATTTTTCCAGAATTATTGAAATCCGCCTTGATGCTAATGGCAGATCATGTCCGCCGAAGTGCTTGAGCATTTCACACACACAATTTCGTGATTCGGATATTCGTTTTGTTTGTTTTTTCGTTTTTCCCCCCGTTTTTTCCTTCAAATTGAATTTATTGAAATCTCCGATATCAACGTAAGAGCTTGTGCCTCTTCGGGGGGTGCTAACACTTAACCATAAACGTTATTGTTTACTTTCTCCGTCTTTATATGTAGATATTACTTTTCTCTGTTAATCTCCGTCACGTTGTTTCCAAAGCAACAACAACTTCCTGTCAACAGCGCTACCTCTCCTTCAAAAATAAAAGCATATCCATAAATAGGAGACATATACAACTGCAACGAAAGTAACAAACACAATGCCATATCCTTTTCAATTTCAAAGAACACAAATTGGGTTACATTAACAAATAACTATAAAACAACAATACTGTAGAATAACAAAATGAATGCCGTGAATACACCGAAATACACGTGTTGAAGCGGTTCGCTGCTGATTACTACGCCCCCCCCCCCGCGCGCGGTTCGAATATTCGCTGCTGATTACTACCGAATATCCGGAGCCCGAAAAATGGTATTCGGGACAGCCCTAACACACAGAGAAATTTGCATGTGAATTCAAGCAAAAGGCGTTTTGGTTGGTGTGTGTGTGTTGGGGTGTGTATGGGCAGCGCTAACGCATTTGCCATTAGCCAGAGTGTGCATATGGAGGGGACGCTTGTCAGCCACATTAGCACACATGGCTAACCTTGATGTTAGCCTGTCCCCACCCAGCACACACCAGCTGAAGATCATGTCTCCTGGCATCTTGCTTTTTATTTCTCGCCCTCTCTAATGGCTTTGTTGTTTTTGCCCTTGTTTCAAAGCCTCCCACCTCGTCAGGCAACTTTGTTTTCACCTCTCTTTATCCTTTTGAATGTATCCTTATGTTGCCTTCCATCCACTGCTCATCCCCCTCAGGGTCCTTTTAATCTTCACATCTGTCAGTGTCTATACATCCATCTGTCTTACCTTTCTCTTTATTTGGGTGTCATTTTTTTTCAGAAGGTTAGGGTGGAAAAACAATTGAACTCATACTCACAAAATATAGTGAACTTATGTTCCGACAACAACATATTCCCAACATCGCTATCTGATTGTGTCCTAGGTTGCCCTCAAAATCATGATATGGACATGTGGGTTGATAATTGCAGATGTAACATTCTCACCATATTAGCCTGCAGCCCCTTAGTCACCTCATTATAAACTGTATGATCCTGTTTAGGACTTAATACAATTTTATCCAAGTTATTGCTGCCATCCATTCCAAAGATAATAAAATACAAGGATTCACTTTTTCCAGTGTTATTGTAAAAGTGTGTAGGTTATATACTACAGATCACATGGCAATCATCAGACATAAACACATAGCTATTAACTCTTGAATTAGTTAATTCAGGGACCAGTTCCCAATCTTTAAGTTTAACTCACTTTAAAAAACTAGAAACGTTACTCCCACAGAATAAGTTTGTAGTACTTTCCCAAGTGTTGGCCTGTCATAAAACTTTACAGATGTCTAGTTGAGATCAAAACAAGGCAGTATTTGCAGCTGACTGTGGTCAAAAGTAAGGTGCTTGAAATAGGAGGGGAAGGAAACGGAACAAGAGCCATGGGTTGGTGTGATCCCATTGGAAGATGGTCTCCAGTTTTCACTGCCAACACCAGTGCTAAACTTTACATTTAAATGAACGCAAATAAGGACGTAAATAAAATAGACTCCTGAATATGTAGATATGTTTTGCTTGAACTTGCTTTGGCTTTTCAACTTAAAGTCCCGTTGACACAGACAACATGTATTGGATAACCTTTTTGTATATCCCATACCAGAAGAATGCATCCTTTAATCTAACTTTCCTGCCTCATGGGCCTGTACACCCCTTCACTTCTCTCCCTCATCTTTGAATACACCTCTCCTCTATCACCAAGCGTCTCTTTGACCTGCCCTTGCCCCTCTCCCTCTATCTGTCCATCCTCCAACAGAAAGGAAATAAAAAAATAATTATTGAGTCAAATGAATTTTTTCATGTGTGTGGTCATGCAACATTAGATGAACCATTGGGCTGTGTGATGTTTGTTTACCTGGCCTGTCTCTGCCTCCCATCCCCTGATGTGAGAGTGTGTGTTTGGATTGGCTCGCTTTGCTGGCCATGATGCTCGGTTGAGCTGATGGATATGCATACTGGCTAAATGGACGGATAAAGGCAGAGATGGATAGAGGGGGGGGGGGGATTCAACGTAAGATGGAGGGATGTTAGCTGGTGTAGCTCCATTTGGGCGGATCAACTCCAAGCCATTGGTCTCAGTGATTAGTGGGTGTGTCGGAGTGATGGAGAGAGGTATGGATGGAAGGAGGGAGGAAGTGAGACATGGAGAGAGACACAGTCAGTGGGGGAGAACAAGTTGCATATGAACTGATAAACAGTACAAACATGACGTCAGGGCAATCCTTTAAAGAGGCCCTATAATGCTTTTTGAGGTTTACCCTTTCCTGTAGTGTGTCGAGTATTTTGTTAAAATGGTCAAGGCTAAAATCCCAACGTTCCCTTTTAGAGGGAGTTTCTCAGTTTAACAGTGTCTCCCTCCTCCTCCTTTCTGTATTTTCCCCTGTCCCATTACATGTGACAGCCTTTGGTTCCCATCGCCATAACAACTGGCACAGAGAGGTGGAGAGCTGGAGAGAGAAATACTGAAATTAGGATGCCAAATGCACTCACCAGTGGCGCTGTCCCTCAGCGTGTGTGTGCGTGTGAGCGCGTGTGTGTGTGTGTGTTGTTACAAAAGTAACGGAGTTACAGTAATATATTACTTTTTGCTGTAACGAAGTAATGTAACGCATTACTAATGAAATGTGGGTAATATATTACCCGTTACAATGCTCAGTAACGCAGTTACAACACATTTTAACCCGAAATTAAATGGTGTTTTGTTTTTTAAGAATGCACTAACATAGCGAGACATTCCGACACCAGACAAATTGTGCGGGTAGATTAGTAAACCTGGTGTGTTTACTCTTCAGGCTTCGCGTCGGGATCTACGGGGCAGTTGAATGTTATGCACCCTCTATTCAAAAAAGAGAACGGAGTGAAAAATACAAACAACAAATTGTGTCAGGTGCGCGTGACCTGCTCCGCTGCGCGTGCATCATTTCCAAAGTGCTTCCACAGCAGTGACACACATCTGTGGATAATCATTTATACGAAAATGGTTAAAGCAACCATCACTAAACGCCAGCAACACTGCATCTACTGCAGACCGTAGCAACAGGTCAGATGGGGACATCATCACGTTACCCTCCGTTGTGGACAGACTGGACACTAGCTTACTCCCGCCTGACTCGCCGCCCTCGCCCCGGAGCAGCAGTCTTCGTTGCCCGAAACTACGCCGCCCCTCTGCGGCCCGCAGGTGCCAGGATACCACGGCAAAACAGAGCCTGCCCAGGTATATCTAAACAAGTACCGCCTGTACAGTGGGGTTATAGGCGGTCATTTTGCAGCTTGTGGTATAAAAATAGGCAAGGGCTAGAATATTCATGTGAAAATAGTGCCATATTCTGCCAAGGCCTGTAGAAATGTTGGGTCAAAAATAATGCATACAATAGCACAGATGCCTTCACCACGAATGCCTACAAAACTATCTCATATCCCAAGCTTATCAACAAGCTAATGTTGCAGCTGAAATGTTCTCCAGGTCACAAAAGCAACCTCACATGATGATGTGATACCAGTTTTCAATCACAGTAAATATTCTCTTCCCAGAGTATATGATGGGACCAAGGTGATGATTTAGTACATGGTTTTTGCTTTTCAATGTTTGCCATTTCAAACCATGAGCTGGTTTAAATAATATTTGCCTTGATTTACAATATGTTCTCATTTGTTTTATCAGTACAGTTTTGAAGCTTTTTTCTTTGCCACAGTCCACTTTGGACTATATGAACTATTTCAGGATTGCACTTTTAACTCACTTGAAATGTTCTCACTTGCTTGGTTTCAAAACATAACAAATGCCACAATCTGTTCATTGGGAACCATAACATCAACCCTATTTTTCATTGCTGTTGCCGGCCACTATTGCTCACGTAAACCTACTACTGCTGCGCCCCCTGTAATCTCAGAGGCACCCCGAGTCATTTTGTTCTGGAACCGGGCCTGTACACGGCCATATACTAAACAAACTACAGAGCCCATTCCGTGTCCTGTTATTGTTTACTTCCTGTCTGCCTTCTTCTGGTGATTTATCTGACGTCCAGCGCTCCGTCTTTTAACCTCTTTTCCTTTCTCTTTCTTGATCCTCCTTAGCAACCTTCATTATAGTCCTTGACACTGGTCTGTACTAATGTATTAACAACGTGTCACATGTTAAGAATTTACAATCAGAATCGAGTATTCAACTAAGCCGTGTAATAGAAGTTGTTAGTAGCCTTAAGGGCCTACACAGTTGTTATGCTATACCACATTGCCCTTCACTGGATGTATAATGAGCTGTACTAAACTACATTTTAGCATTTTAAAATAACTAGCCATTCTTTTGCGGTTATTTTGGTAAAGTAACTAAAAAGTAGTGTAACTCATTACATTTCAGAGACAGTAATATTCTAATGTAACTTATTACTTTCAAAAGACAGTAATAAGTCATATGTAATATATTATATTTTGGAAGTAACTTGCCCAACAAGTTATTTGTTCCCAATAGAGAGTCACTTCATTTGAGGGATTTTGTTATATTACCACTTTTTTTTTTACTTTAATTTTCTTTTCTGCATCTGAGCTTGCTGCACTCTTTCATCAACGTAAGGAAAATGTTGGTGTGTGAATGTTGAACTCAATGCCCATATTGCCCTGCAGTTAGAAGACTGGCTTGTCACACGTTATTCAAATATATTCTGCATCTCTCCATCTCCCCCTCCTCTTGGTCATGCTGTATAGATTAGTATCTGTGGTGGAGAGCGGCTGTATCGCTGTCAGCCCATTAGCAGCTGTCTAAATAGACAGTAAACACATCTTAATTACCTTAGTCTGATACACCACATATACACACAATCATACACACATTCCCTTTTAACCATTTAGCCCCTAGTGTTGGCCAGATGGGCGCGCGGCCCGGTAAAAAGCCCTCCATTACCGACTGGGCTTGACCAAACTGATCCACCCCTCAGCACGCTTACCGGGGTCTCACTGGGGCCACGGCGGGCCCTTGTCGCCACATACCTATAATTTAGCCCCCCAAGTGCTTTCCACATGGCCACGGCAAAAAGCCGGCCTCCATTGTAGGGGTCCGGTAATTGTAGTCTCGTTTAGAAAACCGCAAGTAGCAATTAGCACAGAGTTGGCATTATACGGGGTTGGATTTGCATCCCTGCTGGGCACAAAATGCTGTTTTAATATGAGTTTGTTTTCCCCACATGGAATTAGCTAAAGGGGCCTTTTATCGTATTCACACACCCTACTCTTCTCCCAGCTCTGCCCACCGCTCGCCTTCCCTTCATCACGCTGCATAATCTCTTTCTTCCTGTCTTTTGTTCTTTACATTTGGTCTTTCCCGTCTTTACCTGTAAATCACCATCCCTTTATGTTGACTGATGTTTCTTCACACTCTCTCTTTCCCTCCATCACAGAGGCAGTGGACCTCCTGAAGGAGATGAAAGAGAAGGAGGTGGTGTTAAATGACAAACACATCACGCTGTTCTTCCACATGCTCTTTTCTCTGGCGACCAAGGGTGGCGCCCCCGCCATTCAGCGCCTGCAGGACTCCATGTTCACCCTCGGACTGGCCAAGCCCAACTCCAACCTCCTCTCACCCCTGGTTACTGCATACATTGAGAGGTAAGCAAACTGGCTGTGTTACAAATCACAAAAACACTCCCTCATACAAAAATAACCAAAGTTGGGGAGTCGTTCTTTTGACTTCCATTTCTTTATTAGCTTTAAGTCACTGGAGGAAAAAAGGTATGCTCCAAGAATTGTTGTATTTTAGAACATCAATAGAGAGGCGAAGTCCCGCCCATCTACTTCCGACCCATGGGACCTTATTTCGGAAAAATGATGTATTGAAGTCAATGGGGAGAGAAAGATTATCTTTCGATCCCGTTTGAATTGTGCCACGAATTACACATATGATGTTTGTCAATCTTAAAAATGAATTTCCATGTCAAAAAAGTCACAGTTTGTCGTAAAACTGTTGAAATATAAGACTATGAAAAATATGCAACTAGAAAGACTACGAATCCCAGAATCCCGGTCCGCATGCTGGCTCTTACGGAACCGACTAACTCCCCTTGTGTGTATGCACAGCTCTCAACGTGCCCAGACTTGTAGTGATTTTCACCTCTTTTAATACTTTCCGCCTCATTCTGAAAGAAAGAAGTGAAATGTGCCAACTCGGTGTGTGGTACGAGACGGGAGATGTAGTTCATTGAGCGGTTTCACACAAAAGTGTTACTTCAGTTTTACGACACATTTCCTTTTTTTTGACTTGCAAAATTATCTTTTAAATTGACAAACATCATATGTGTAATTCGTGGCACAATTCAAACGGAATCGAAAGATAATCTTTCTCTCTCCATTGACTTCAATACATACTTTTTCAGAAATAAGGTCCCATGGAGCTCGCCCGGAAAGGGAGGGACTTCGCCACTCTATACAAGACTGGACTGCTGTTTCTACGTTTCTCAACTGAATTTTTTCCAGCTGGGAACTTTATTTCTCCATATTATTTCAACACCACGTTTATGCAGCACTTGTGCCTTATTCTGCAAATGTAACAAAAGCAAAACACAACTTGTGCATCCACTCGTGTCCAAAATATTGTGGGTTCTTCCTTGACCCACGCTACACCCTTCCACCAAGTTTCATAAAAATCGGGCCAGTCGTTTTTCAGCAATCCGGCTGGCAGACAAACAGACAAGCATAGCTGGAAACCATAATGTGTGTTATGGTATATTATCTTTCTATGGCTGAAGTTCTCCCCTTTCCAGCCAACTAGCTCACTTTTGTTTTCAGATGTGTGTCTTCATCTGCCAAATCCAGTTGCCAGGTGTGTGTGTGTGTGTGCGTGTGCCTCAATGAGTCGCTCATCCCTCCCTATGATCATAGCTGAGGTTACTCTCTGGGTCAGCGATTCAGACAGAGAGAGGATGTGGAAATTGCTCATTTATATATGTGTGTGTGTGTGTGTGGTGTTAGAGCCAGGTTTTGTTTGTTAGAGAGGATTCGTCAGCTGCAACCTCTCTCATGAGCCCCCACCCCTGATCTGCTGAAACACCCACTGCTCTACTCAAATGTGTAAGTGTGTGTTTGTGGTGAGAGACGGCCATCGATGCTTCTTCCCATAATGCAAATATGCAAATGAACGTTAACAAACACTGGCTGGGGGTCACTGGTATTGCCCCACCCTTCAACTCTATTCAGTATGTGTGTGTTATTCAGAGTGTGTGAGTATTATATTTTTTTTAAAGCAGCTTTTAAGTAGATCAACTCATTAGCATGTTAATTATGTACAGAGCACTAATTGCTGGATTTACCACAGCGCCGTTAGGGGCCCACACATACACACACACACATGCCCTTCACATGCTCTCACACACTGTTTACCTCTAGTGTACACGCTGCTCTGTAGAGGTAGACCTTTGCACACACACACACACACACACACACACACACACACACACACACACACACACACACACACACACGCCCAGACGCTCACACACACACCTGTGCTCCCCTGCAGCTGTTTGTTTTGCTGTAAGTCTGCTCCCTGGCACCAACAGAGTTTCTGGGTTCACTCGTTAATCACTGCCTCTGTGAGATTAGCAGGCTAATTTACTCCTGGGTCATCAACGGCAGCCAAAACACAAACACACACACACACAAACGGGCACACACACCAGCTTAGCACAGCCCTGTTCACAAATCAAGTGCCAGTTGTACTTCCTCCAAATGACACTGCAGTGAAAACACACTAATGAGCACGTGAACAGGCGGACTGCTGGTATTTCAGCTGGCTGGTTGTCAACGCTTGAAAATAGTCCTCAAACTAAATGTAGAACTTGATATGCACATAATATTCATTTGTCGTCCACTTCACTTGAGAATATCGTACATTTTTGTTTGGAAAGTGTAGCAAGTTTAAATATGAAGGTAGATATGGTGCAAAATGCGAGAGCGTGTAAAACCTGATGTGAGCAATTGCAGAACATAAATCTGAGCTTGTGTGCATACATTTACACTTGTATAAAATATCCACGTAACTGTGAACAAAATTTGAAGTCACAGAAGAAAACAAAAAGTTTTGTAGCTTGTAGAAAAAAAATGAACTTAGTGATGAAATGTTCACTTGCAGAAAAATATATATATTTTTAATATATTTTCCATTACAACTGCAACTTGGTTATTACAACCTCTCAAATCAGTCATTACAACTTCACGAATCTGCTCTGTGGCAGTATAAATCGACGAATCTGCGGCCTTGACTTTTGCTACACTTCTTGCGATGAATGTGTCACTAAAGAAATGTTCACCTGCAGATGTGGAGGGGGGTTGGAGCGAAGGGGCGGAGCTATCAGAACGACGAGGCGCAAACTCGGGTCAAATAAATAAACAAACATCTTTCCTTCCAATTTCAGGCTCAACTTTTATTTGAGCAGATGATTCACTGCAGGAGTTAAATAATGACTATTCGGCTCGTTTCTATCTCTAAAACATCTGTTTCAGGCACTAAATAGTGTAGAAGTGCAACCGAAGGCCCCTAATAAGGCTTTGCAGTTACAGCTTTGATCTACATGGGCAGCTATAAAACGATAGGGGCGGGCCGCAGGCTGAAATAAAAGTGTCTCTTGGAAGATGTGTGAAATGCTTAGTAATGTAAAGCGTTTCCACCACATAGTTCCAGCAGGGGTTCAGCTGAGCCTCAGGGCAGGTTTGAGTACCACAGCACTTGACTTTTGCGCTCCAGCTGAATCTATCTCCTCGTCCTCGTCTCCTCTTTTTATCTTTTATATTTATCCGGTGGTCTCCTCCTCTTCATGCCGTCAGTCAGGGGACAAACAGACACTGGGGAGGAGGGGGGACGGAGGGAAGAGATAAAAGAGGACAAAGCAGGCATCACTCCTGCCTGCACCCGTCTCATCGCTGTGTCAGCGCTAATGACTTAATGAACACTTCTCCGGCAGATTAGCCCTTGACAGCCCATCATATGCGCCGCCCTGTTAGCCTTCATGCCCGTCCGCTCACTGTTGTGTGTGCTAGTCTGCTACTACTCTTGCCCAGATTGCCACATCCTTATGGAAGTGATTAGCGCCAGAAAATGCTAATGAGTCGCACTAAATGAAGAGCTGGCAGGACGTGTGTGATAAGACGGAAAAATGGAGGAGAGCTGATGGGCGATGAGTGAGTTTCACACTTTCCAACGGTCTTATATTGTGTGTACATTTTTAGTGAGGCCTAACTAGGGATGCGTATCGTTAAGGTTTTAACGGTACTACTACTTTTATCGGTCCGGTCTGTTAACGGTACTTTTATCGGTTCTTTTGGAGAAAAAAACAAGGTAAACTAACTAAACAAATTGTGAACAAAACTAACATTGCTTTTAATTTAAATTAAATACATAATATTTCACATCAAAAGAAACAACAGCGTTTTAACAAATCGTATTAAATAATCTGATGACAGAACTGTAAACAGAGCTGAAACTTTAACAAAATAAATAACTCAGTTACCTCTAATCATTAACCCATGTTTGTATCATTGAGTTAACTCTGTGTGTTGCTGCTAGCATACATAACACTTGACGTGGAAACGTTACTCGTGGACGGGGCTACAGAGCTACTAGAAAGACAGTCGAACCCGGTGCATTCCTCCGTCTGAATGTGGTGCACTTTTGCAAGATGTTTAGACTCGTGTGTGTGTCTGCCCCGCCCCCTCGTAAGCAGGCTGCATTTTGCTGTCTTTTTGCATGTTAGAAACGGAGTTGGCGACACTAAAATTGCAATATAATGTTTGTGTAGCAATAATACACATGACATATATTTTTTACATGTCTCCAGTACCGATAAAAAGACCGCTAACGTCGGAGCTTAACGGTACCACGGTCTTTAATAATTCAGCCCCGGGGCCCGTTTAATACCGGGGCTCGGTACCCATCCCTAGGCCTAACCCGAGGTCACAGCCTCTCCTTTCAATTACAGTAAGACCAGATGAAAATAAAATGAGTGATATAGGAGGTGGAAATCAAAAAGGAAATCCTTGGTAGATAAACCGAAGCAGCCAGACGTGAAAATATAGAAAAGTGGAACAAGGAAAATACACTGAGAAAGATTGTAACTGCAGCACAACTTAACTCCATTAATGGTTCAACATGCCCTAATCAATTATGCTTATAAAACAATGACAGGTTAAATTGTCAATGATGTTCTCATACTGACGATATCGCGGATAGTTATCACAGGAATCTGTAGGTACCATAAGCTCTGTGGGACGTTATCACTATGGCTTTTTGGTTTGGAGGCGTCTGGTGTTAGGCAAGAAACTAGTAAGCTCACAATATCAAGCACCAAATGAAAGAAAAGGTAAGCAACATAGTGGAGCATTCAGCAGGTAAAGAGTCTTTCCTCAGAAATTGAGACCAAAACTGAGCTAATAGGAGAGTGACTATTAGGGGAGTAATGAGGATAATGCTGCTAGATGAGTAAACACTACTGTTGCCATATCAACTTTGTGCAGTATGAAGACTCTTCACCTGTGTGGGTACTGAAGTAAACATGAATACGTGCCATTCTTCCACACATGTAAGTGTATAACAGTGGGCTAGTGGTGTCATGATCGCTGTCTCATTTGACATTTTCGGGAGATAGACACCTTGTCCTCCCCCACGCAAGGACAGTGGCGTGATAACAGGCCTGCCTATCTCCTCGGAACAAAAGAGGGGGACGGAGAGGGAGAGAAATGGGAGGAAGGGGGGGGTGAGATGAGGCAAAATGAGCTTCCTTGTCTAATCCTTCAGGTTTCCACTGAGCAAAGCGCTCCCATTTTTTTCAGGGCTTAATTGGCTGGAAAGTGGCTGACATGCAAAGTTGAGGACATTAACAGGGCTGTGCGCCGCAGTAAATGGCAACGCAAAGTGACAGTTAAATTGTACCTAGGGGGAATTATCCATCTTTCGACATCCTTAGCTCTTTTTTGGGGTGGATCGGTGGGCGGAGAGAGGGGGAGAGGGGAGGAAGGCAGATGGGGGTGTAATTGCAACACCAGGCCTTATTTTTTGGAGAGTGAAGGGATGTTTTTTTTAAAAGATGTCTCATTAGGGTGGAGGGATTATAAGTAGGTGTGGAGGAAAGAATAAAGTGGACGGATAGAAGGGATGAAATGAATTTAGAGGAGTTTTGAAACATTGATTCCACCAACATATGACTCGGTAAAAAAGTATTGCGAGACACCACATAACAAAAGTATTTGTCCATTCAAGCCACATTTCGTAAATTACAAACGTCTAACTGCAATTGTTTCATTTTTGTAGTAAATACCCACGACCCCCTCCTGTTCTCATTCAATCTCCACTCTCTTTCTCTCATTTTCAAAAATCTCTTAGTGTCTCTTCTGTGTTGTTCAATCAGACGGCTGTGCGGTTGAACAGCCTCTTGACTGCCGCTGCTGAATAATGTTGTCCCTCTTCATTTCAATTAGCGGACCTCTTTACCTTCCAACCCCAATCACTCCATTTCCTCCTCCCTCCATCGCTCTCTTCTCCTCACACAAGGTCACACCATTTCCTGTTTTATTTTTTTTCCGGGTTGTTGGTCTTTCCGCGCATATTTCTCTTATCCACTTCTCTAATTGATTAGAGGAGAAAACACTTGAGAAATTATACCTGTTCACTCTCAATCTGTCTCTCTCACGCTCCGTCCATCCGTCTGTCTCACATTCACTCCCTCTGCCCCCCCCCTCCCCACTAGGTGCCCTATCTGCTTTGACCTCTGTGTGATTGACATGGTAATTACCCAATCAACAGATTGATGGCAGCGCTGTCACAATAGAGGAGATTGAAGTGGTCTCTCTTCCCTCCCCCTTCTCTCAGCTTCTCGTTCCTCTTGCTTCTTTTTCGGGCGCCTCCGTCCCTCTACTTTTCTCGTTATCACTCCATCAGGCGCAGTCATCCTCCCATTGCGCACTCTTTTGTTTGCTCGAGAGGCAAAGGAAGGATAGATTGAGCAAGGAGAGGATGACATGAGCTGGTACTGGTGGGGGGGCGGGGGGGGGTCTCTAATGTTGTTGCCATATTTCTGCTAAATGGCTCAGCTGGGGGGCGGGGTCATCAGATGGGGAGTGGGAGCTGACGGCATGAAATAAGGACGAGGGGAAGAAGAGAAGGAATCAAAAAGAGAGATGGGGAAAATGAGAAGGAAATGAGAGGAGGTTAAAGAGGTTTGGAGAGGACAAAAAGAGGAGAAGAAGTGAGAGAAGTTGTGAGGAGCAGAGAGGGTAAAGATCACTGCAGTCCTTTTGTCTGCTGTATTGCTTCCTCTCTAAAAGCCTGTCCAGAGAGACATTAGCCCCTCGCCGACAGGTGTGAGAGCACCTGATTGTGTGAGAATGATGTATTGAGGCCAAAAGGCTTCATCACCTACAGTCTGCTGTCAGGAATTCAAAGGCCTGTATTGTTGCACAGGGTCACAGTGCTTGAATGGTGGGTCACAGGGTTAACGCCCCTCGATGCACTCTCTTTTTCTCTGCCCCAACAGTCTTGTACATGACTGACTGGATAGACCTGACATCTAACTCGCTCTCTCATCTCCTCCTGTGTGTGTGTGTGTGTGTGTGTGTGTGTGTGTGTGTGTGTGTGTGTGTGTGTGTGTGTGTGTGATGTGTGTGTGTGTGTGTGTGTGTGTGTGTGTGTGTGTGTGTGTGTGTGTGTGTGTGTGTGTGTGTGTGTGTGTGTGTGTGTGTTGTGTGTGTGTGTGTGTGTGTGTGTGTGTGTGTGTGTGTGTGTGTGTGTGTGTGTGTGTGTGTGTGTGTGTGGTGTGTGTGTGCTGTGTGTGTGTGTGTGTGTGTGTGTGTGTGTGTGTGTGTGTGTGTGTGTGTGTGTAGCGAGGACCTGGCCGGAGCTCTAGAAGCAGCCATAGACTGTCAGAAGCGCTACAACCACATGCCTTCAATCCACCGCATCATCGTGGCTCTGGTGGAGAAAGAAGACCATGACCTGCTGCAGAAAGGTGACACATGTATACCCTCATCTTGTTGTCATCCCAAAAATATGGTGCTAAAACTTTTGGTTTGAACATTTATGTAAATTGTTGATGATTAACAAGGAAGGTTAGAATTTTTTTTCTTGATTCACGTTTTTTTATTCAACATTTTTATATTTTCTCAGATTCTTTAGAACAGATTCCCTAGAATTATGGAAACCTGTCAGTTGCACCTTTTATGGACTAAACCCTGTCTTATAAACAACATAGTTGCTGCTTTTCATTCATTTGTCAGGTTTCGATAAAGGGTCTCCACATTACCAAAATGACTATTACGGGTTTTTTTTTTTTTCAGGTTTTATGCCCATCATTAAAAGTTGTCAGTGAATAGATGACAGGAATAACAGGACAAGGAGCAAAATACATGCAACATGGACATAGAAGTTCATGGTCAGCAATCGACCAATCAGAATGGAGTATACAACAAATATAAATCGTGTTAAAGGCTTATTATATGAAAAATGCCTCTTAAGTATAGAATAGCAGTGCTCGCTGTCAGTGCTTCTCCTAGATATATTCTAATATATATATTTGTGTACTTCTCCTGGTTGCCTCCTATTAATTTCTGTGTGTGAGGCATAGCTAATCCAAAGTGCCCACGCTATGTTTGCATTAAACGTACACGTAACAAGCGGCAACAATTCCAAGAGTGTGTAAGAGCAGCAGAGAGTGAGGGGGGGGGTCAGACGAGGTCTTAGTGAAGCACGTCAGACGTCATGTTTTGAGCGGTCTCCCTGTATGTCGACAGCAGCGTGGTGAAAAAGTTCAAGTTCAATGTGCCGCAAGTGGCTCTGGAGTGTGTAAAGGTTGAAACCGTGCAGTGGAGCACCTCTCCACCTCCTTTACTTTCATTTCACACACTCCCTCATACACCATTCCCTCCCACTTTTATCTCTGAACCCCCCAAGAGGTCACAGATCCTCAAAGTCAGGCGCTGCACCCTCAAAAACATGAAATTACTTTTACAATAGTCTGATAGAAACCAGTGCCCACTAACACGTGGATCGTGATATAAAATATGATTCTGGCTCTTACTCGCTCATATAAAGCAAGAGAGGGATGACTTCAACCTTGAAACACTCAACATCACAACTCTGTGAGTACGTGTTGAAATAAAAGCAGGAATGTATCAAAACCTGCAGACTTCCCAAAGAGTGGCCTTCTGTGGAGCAAATAGGTCATCTCGTCTCTCATTGTTCGACCTTGGTTGTAAATCGGAACATAAAATGTAGTTCTGCGACGTTCAGGCAACCATAGCAACAGCTCAACAACTTAAAAAAATTAAAGGGTCATAATACAATACTTGCCTTTTAACATGGAGGTCAATGTAACGTCTACAGGAAGCTGGGATGTGGAGGACATGTTAATTGGTGCTATTAGGAGAGACACTACAAGTGAATAGGGTTCAAGTTGTAATTAATAGAAATGCCCATGAAACGTGCAGTCGATGAATTACATTAAGACAAATATACTTTTCTATTACCTTTTTATTATTTCCTGAAGTGGTATGTCTAAATATGCAGGGCTTACTAAATATTTGCTATTTTTCACACACGTTTCCAAACTGAAATTTGAATTCAGACGGGTTAAAAAAAGGACAATTATTTTTTGTATTAAGATTTTTGAAAGTTACGTCGAAGTTAGTAAATGTAGGATAAATCTCTAGACGGGTGTGTGTGTGTGTGTGTGTGTGTGTGTGTTGTGTGTGTGTGTGTGTGTTGTGTGTGTGTGTGTGTGTGTGTGTGGTGTGTGTGGTGTGTGTGTTGTGTGTGTGTGTGTGTGTGTGTGTGTGGTGTGTGTGTGTGTGGTGTGTGTGTGTGTGTGTGATGTGTGTGTTGTGGTGTGTGTGTGTGTGTGTGTGTGTGTGTGTGTGTGTTGTGTGTGTGTGTGTGTGTGTGTGTGTGTTGTGTGTGTGTGTGTGTGTGTGTGTGTGTGTGTGTGTGTGTGTGTGTGTGTGTGTGGTGTGTGTGTGTGTGTGTGTGTGTGTGTGTGTGTGTGTGTGTGTGTGTGTGTGTGTGTGTGTGTGTGTGTGTGTGTGTGTGTGTGTGTGTGTGTGTGTGTGTGTGTGTGTGTGTGTGTGTGTGTGTGTGATGTGTGTGTGTGTGTATAATGGGACTTACCGTATTGTCGGAGGAGGTAACTACATCTCGTCTCGGTCTCTCCTCTTCAAGGGCTCAATCTATACAACCACAACAACAATATATAATTTCCTTTGGAATTTTTTTTCTACCTTCATTTTTCTTTATGGCCTTGAATAGTTCTGCCTGTGTGGTCCTGAGGCTGCTGGACAGAGATAGGACGTAACGCTGAGCAGAGCGCTTTAGCAAGTTTACCATTAGAGCTTAGGCTTTCATTCGGGACCTGTGTTTGTTTGAGAGCAGACTTGATCTGGCTGCTTTGTGCCTGGGACATTGTGCCAAATAATGGAATCAGGAGGAAAAGATTAAGTGTGTGTTCATTCACCTTGCAGACGTTTTTTTATTCACAGCCTTTCTCTGCTCTGTTTCCCCGTCCGTCTGCTTCTCTTTGTGTCCCTTCAGCCATGGACTTTGTGAGTCAGGAGCGAGGGGAGATGGCGATGCTGTACGATCTGTTCTTCGCCTTCCTGCAGACAGGCCGCTACCACGAGGCCCGTAAGATCATTGAGGTAAACACAAACACACACACACAGGTGCCGCTTCTTCCTGAACAAATGGTTTTAAAAAAGGACTTGGATAAAAGAGCTCCTTTCCAATCCATGTAGTTGATCACGGCTATGTTATATATCAGGGCTATTCAATTAGTTTGGAATGGGGCCGGTTGATGAAAATGATCCAAAGCAAGGGGCTGGGAAAAAGATGGCTTGAAATATGAGCAGTCATATTAAGAGCTTTGGATACAGTAAACAACAGCATAGTGGAGTGCATATATTGTGTTGAATTAAATCAAACAGCATAGCCCCCTTTCTAGATCTAAATGGCAAGTTCAGAACTCAGTAGGCCTACATGTGAAGCTAATTTAACCATCAACATCATTTGATTTGATTTAATTTAGGTGAAATGAACTAATCATTCACGCTGAGATGCAATAAATGGCAGTTTGTCACTACAGTAGCTAGTTTTCAGGCAAAGTCTTCCCCTCTATCTCTCAATGTAACACCCTCTCTGGAATTAAGGCACTCTGGCCCAAAAAATTATCTTTTAAAAAAAAAAGTAGAGCCCTGTTATACATTTGATCAAACGGCAAGTTGTGGGATTTGATGTCTAGACCCCAAAGGTGGTGTGGAAAACTGTGAAGGACCAAAAGCTTAGTCAGAGTCCTTACTTTAGTATTGTAACCATATCTAGATGTTGCAAATAAGAACCAACCAGGATTTACATTGTTTCTTAGCGTGAGTCTTGGGTGATTTAGTCTTTAAGGATGACTGATCATTTTATGAACAGAATGACTGATTTCCAGATTAAGTAATGAACCTATATGGGGCCTAATCTCACTTGTATGGTAACGCATACGTGAACAGAACAGTGCTGTTTGTACTTGGTTTTACATCTTAATAGGGTCCTTCCTTTAGTAATGTTACCATATCTAGACGTTGAAAATAATAACTGTAAGGGAAACTTCTGCAGCAATGGAGAGTCAGGACTCAGAGAGACACGAGGAGAGTTGGAGCTTTGATGTCAAACACTGATATTTATTTACAAGTATCGGCCGGAGAAATTCACATCACAAGTCACACAGCCAGAGATTCTGACTGCCCTGGTGGGTTGCCATGTCTAATCTGCCGCGCCTCTCTCTCGATAGACCTTTTAACTATTTCAGAGAGAGTAAACAACATATTTGGGGAGATAGACTAAACAGCTGGGCACCCTGAATCACTTGAGTCTGACCCTTAATGGCCTTGAAGCCAGCGTTCCCACAGCCGTAAACGATTGCGTGACCGAGAGTTGAACTGGTTTATCAAGATAGCCGGAGCCTCCCATTCCTTAAGAGAGATAACAGAGCCCAGGGTTGGTCGTAAACGTCAACACACAGAAAAGGTTAAATATCTAGGAGTAAAGACAGAAATATTCCCTCACAATAACCAACCTTGATTTATATTGTTTCTTGGCGTGAATCTTCACTGTTTTAGATGGCTTAGTCGGAGCAAATAAAAGCAAGACTGATCACTTTATGAACTGAATGAATGATGTTCAGCTTAAGTAATGAAACATTGTAAGGCCTGACTTCACATGTTTGGAAACTCATACATGAACAGAAAAGTGGTGTTTGTATCTAATTTCCCTGGCTGCATTACATCTCAATATAAAATGCAATTCTTAATCTCAGAGGAGCTACCTGATTAAAAACAGTTGCATGAAAACCAGGATCACATCGGCACGACTGTCATGATCCACAGAGAACATGCATAATGTAAAAGCAATACTCTTATTGTTATTGTAGCGCATCTGACCTGAATATTTTATGAATATTTATATCTTTGTCAACTTAAATCTAGCTGTAAGCCCTGTAGATTAGTGTGAGGAAAAGGAGAGTGGCAGATAAGAAGTGATTTTCACGTGGATAAAACAAGCAGCGGGACAGAGAGATCAAACACATAGAGGGATGAGCCTGACCTCAGAGGAAAGAGAAACAAGGCCATTATATTGTCCGATCAGGATGAGAGCAGAAAAAAATACCATAACTCCCTCTATCTGCTCTCTCTCGGGACCTGGTGTGCACTAAAAATAAGGATTTGTCCCTCTTGAGGATTTCCAAACCCTCTTAAATATTATCAACATGTTATTGTTCGGCTAGATTGTATTGCCGTTATCCTACTTATAACAGACAGTAAGATACATGCCATCGATGTGTGAGATTGGTGAAGCCTTGTCAAACCACAGAGGTACATGTTGTCCCTGGTGTCAACGGGAGATGAATGTTGGAGAGACGATAAGCTGCTGGTTTTGGTTTGTTATTGACACGCAGGCTGACTTTAAACCTGCAGATCTATAGGTTACTTACGTAACCCCAGTTCTCAGAGTAACATGAAGTGAGATGTCTCACTATGGGATGCGCCTCATCGCGGAGCAAACAGAAGCATCAATCTCATTACGCCAATCCTGATTGGCTGGAGATCTTGACGTCAGCGTCAGGGAAATCACCCCCTATAAGTAGCTTGCGCCACAACGCATGCGCCATTCAAAATAAGCACCTCTTCTCGCTTCACCATAGCAAGGAGGGCCGTCTGGTGAGACATCTCACTTCATGTTACTCTGAGAACTGGGGTTACGTAAGTAACCTATAGTTCTCATTCATAACACTCCGTTCGATGTCTCACTATGGGAAATTGTAGCTCCCGTATTGTCAGACGAGCTTATCTCGAAAATCACCAAACCAACCAGAACTTAACAGGTAGAGCTCTGACTCAACCAGGTGCCCAGCACTGCTTGAGTCACACTGGGAGCAGAACGTCCAGCCTGTTAAGAGGCGGACAAAAGTGAGCGGCGAGGACCAGCTCGCCGCTGCACCAATGTCCTTGATGGGAGACATCCTGGACAGAGTCCAGAATGCAGCCAGACTCTGAGTCGAAAGAGCTCGCGGACCCGAGGGTGCCTGCGAACTCTGACTCGTATGAGCCCCAAAGCAATTGCTTCCACAGACCAGTGGGAGAGCCGTTGCTTAGTAACAGGCTTGCCCTTATAAGGGTTAGCCCAGGACACAAGGGGTTGGTCATTATGACGAAGCACCCTTGATCTGTCCCTGTACGTGCGTAAAGCACCGGCTGGACACGGCAAATCCGGCCGCTGTTCCCCGGAGGAATACAGTGGCGGGGAGGATGCCTTAATGTCAAATGTGGTACCCGAACCGACCGCCTTAAGATAAAGGCAGGGTCAGGCTTCAACCACACTCTGTTTGCCCTGGGGCAAACTGAGTGCATGAAAACTGTACAGATAGTGCATGAGTGCCACTGGCTCGCTTGGCAGCTGCCAGGGTCAGCGTCATGTCACACTGTATTTAGATTGTACCACTCACGGGCCAGGCCCATAGAGCCAAGCGCTCTGGGTGTGGGTGAAAGATCGCCCCCCCCCCCGCTTGGGACAGTATGTCCCTGCGTAGTGGGAGCTGCCATGGCTGCTCGCACAGCAGCTGATATATCTCCGCTAGCCAGTACATAGCTGGCCAGTGCGGAGCTATCAGGATAAGTGTGTGGCGTTGCTCTCTCACTCTGGCCAGAGTTGGGGGTATCAGAGCCAGGGGTGGGAACGCGTACAGAAGGCCCGGGGGCCAATTGTGCGCGAGTGCATCCACGCCTAACGGTGCATTTAGATCGCGCATCGAAAAGAACAGCTGACACTGAGCGTTGTCTTTCGATGCGAACAGATCCACCGCGGCTCTGCCTTAACGCACCCACAGCTGGCTCACAATCCTTGGATGTAGAGTCCAGTCTGCATAAAGTGGTATACCTCTGGACAGTAGATCTGCCCCGAGGTTCCTCACTCCCGGTACGTGCGTCGCTCTCAGAGAGAGGAGACGCCTACCGCTCCATAGGATAAGTTTGCGCGCCAGTGTGTGTAACTGGAGAGAACGCAAACCCCCTTGGCGGTTAATATACGATATTGTGGTCATATTGTCTGTCCTCACGAGGACGTGATGTCCCCTGAGGAAAGGCAGGAAGCGTTTTAGGGTGAGAAACACCACTAAAAGCTCCAGGTAATTTATGTGCGCCCGCTGGAGGTCTCCAGAGACCCCTCACCGGGCGACCTTCATAAATACCTCCCCAACCTGTCAGACATGCGTCCGTGGTGACCACTTTCCGTGAAAGGACAGCACCCATAGGCACACCTCGTACTAGAAAGTCGGGTGCAGCCAGTGGCGCAGTGCCATTACGCATTTCACAGTAACCATCACTCTCCGCGCGCCATGGCGCGCAGCGTTTAGTTTTAGGGCGGCCACCCAGCGCTGAAACTCCCTCATGTGTAAGCGTCCCAGTCGTACGACCAGGATGGGTGACGCCATGAGCCCCAGCAATCGCAGGCATGATCTGAAGAGAACATGTTTGCGCAGCCGGAAAAGAGCGAGACAAGCTCTGAAGCTTTCACTCTATCCGCTGACAAGCGAGCTGAAAAGGGCACCGAGTTCAGGCGTAAAGCCAGGAAGAGTATAGTCTGCGCGGGGCACAACATGCTCTTCTCTGTGTTTATTATGAAACCCAGGTTGAGCAGGTGCTTTACGAGGACATTTGTCTGCGTAACAGCCTCCTGCTCCGACTGTGCGAGAAGCAGCCAGTCGTCCAGGTAGGTCGCCAGGCGAATACCCTGTTGTCTTAACGCGGCTTCCGTACATCGTACAAAACACCCTTGGACTGAGAGACAGACCGAAGGGGAGTACTCTGTATTCATAACAGATCCCTGAAATGCGAATCTCAGATATTTCCTGTGTGGGTAATATACTGGGATGTGAAAATACGCATCTTTCAGGTCGACTGATGTGAACCAGTCGTCTTGTCGCACGAGCCGCAGCAGAGATGTGTGAGTGAGCATTCTGAACTTATATCTTCTTAGATATTTGTTCAGAGCCCTCAAATCAAGTATTGGCCGAATTCCGTTCCCTCCCCGTTTGGGAACGAGGAAGTACTTGGAATAGAAGCCGCCCTGACTCTGCTCGGCGGGTACAATAGATATAGCCCTC